TGTCGTACGCAGCAGAGAAGTTAGCAGGATGCTAATATACGAGGTGACTGGACCCCCCCCCCACACACACGACTACATAACATAATCATAATACATAACATAATACATACATACATACATACATACATACATCTACATACATACATACATGACATACATACATACATACATACATACTCATACATACATACATACCATTACATACATACATATAATACTAATACATACATACATACATGACATACATACATACATACATACCTACGTGAGTGACGTACGTACGTACGTGACGTGACGTACGTACGTACGTACGTGACGTACGTACGTACGGTTATTACATAATATGCGTAGTACGTACGTACGTGAACATACAGAATGTACATACATTGACATGAACATTACATTACTACATACTCACTCATACATACATTACATACATGACATACATGAGCATGACATACTACTACATACATTACATACATACATACTAATTAATACATACATGAATACATGACATACAATACATACATGACATACATGATACATACATGACATACATACAGACATACTATACATACATTACATCATACCATACATTACATGACATGACATTCATACATACATACATTACATGACCCGCAGGCCGCACGCCGCACCGCACGCACGCACGCACGCACGCCTAGCACAGCACGCACACACACACAACACACGCTGACACACAGACGCACAACACCGCCACGCACACAAACGCGCGCGCGCTATCGTTGCTACGCTCGTCGTGAACAAAACACTCTCTCGCTACTGCGTCGCTTCGTGCGAATAGTTGATCGAAGTTGTATGATGCGATTCAACAATTCACTTTTAATACCTTTGTGCATGCAAAAAGTTCATCGGGGTTTGACTTTTTACTGTTGTGCACTAAAAAACAATGCGTATGTGATGTTAATCAATAGACGGTGCCGTCAGTCGAATCTATAAGCGAGAATGAATATGAGAAACATATATCACATATTATTAATATAAAATGTAATATGAAGAATGAACTCCGCGAGTGATGTATTATGAGCGGGAGTATGTGTTAGATTCTATGTACTGCTACTAGTCTGACCATTGGTGATGTGCAGAGCATATTGGTTACTTGAATCCAACTCAGCAAAGCCAAACACTAATGTAATCATCTCTTTGCAGCACTTACGTGAACGCGATTTGGATCTAAACGGAAGAATATGAGAAACACTGTGAGGTGGTGGAAACCACGTGGAACGAATTAGACTGGTATGACGGGCGTTCTTTAAAACCAGCGCGTGGTGGTACACAACGGCCCCCAACCCGCCCAAAACTCAGCTAACGTGAAAGTTAATGCGATTCTACCTGCTTAAACATTATGCAAACGGATGAAACAGTCGCGATGGATTCCAGTAGGTTCGCAGTAGCACGTCTGCTGAGTGTCCACGCCGAGGGCAAACGCCCGGAAGGCGGGCGCGGAACAGTGCGGAATGACTGGCTGCTTCGCCAGCATATATGTAAGAAGTTTCATGCAAGAGTGTTGAGTACGCAGCAGGAAGCCGAGGCTCGCCGCGCCGCGACCGTGTCGTGGTGAGACTGTCGGCACGCTCAACAGCATCATGATGCATACGGAGCCCGCAGCAACGAGAAAGCGCCGCGAGCGATGCAACGTCTTGGCAAGCTTTATATGGCTGTGGGCGAGCTCAGCCAGAGAAGGATTGTGCCGGTCGCTCCTGCTCTGCGAAAACGCTGGCTGCTCGGGTTGTGGTGGGGATTGTGCTGATGGTGCTTGGTGATCATCAGTGTATGTGAAGCGGTAGATGGAGAATGATGGCGTCACGCGCAAACTTACATGAATAGCGAGGTCACAGATAGAGATGTTCTACTCGTGACGGTGTCATACATTGCACGGTTGATGGGCTGCCAGCGTTGCCAATTGATGAGTCGATCACCTTGCGAGAAGCAAAGCTTCCAAGTGGAGATACTTGCTAAGATAACGCTGCGGTGTGCAATCTGGGTAGTAGGTGCTGCGGTATCCGCGATATGTGCAATGTGTGTACCTGGTCTACGTGCTGGCAATGAGTGAGGTTTGTTGATGCAAGTCCAGAGTGTAACCAAATGACGTGTGCCAAGGCATTATGATCTTTTGGCGGGGGATGTCGATTAGAAAGGTGCGTTAGGTGGATACGAGGTTCCGACCCACCATGAGAACAATCGGCGCAGCAAGATTGTGGCGATTCAGCTTGTGGCACGGCTTCTGCAGGTGTGGATGTCCGTCTTGTCACAGCCAAGATGACGAGTAGGATTGAGCAAGTTATAATGAGAATGTGGACAGGAATCAGCAGGTAACGATCCACGATCTGGAATCTCTTTAACCGTTCCTATTAACGTCCGATCCATGGCAGCCGACCAAGCTCCTGATTCTCGGGACCGGTCCCGAGGATGGTTGGCACAGTGAACCATTAGCTGTCGCCATGATGCAAAATGAATCTCACCACGCCAGCTGACGTAACGCACAAATGGGGCCAGTCCTGAACTACCTTCGTGGCTCTCGCTGCTTCGCATTAATTTTACGGTTTGTATACGTAATATTAATGGTCTCCCCAGTGTCTCCTCTCGAGCGATTCTATGTTGCGTGAAACTCTACTTGTTATCTCGGTAGTTTGGTCACAATTAGCTATGCCTACATAATGTAAATATACTGAATTGATGAGTATTGACATCGTGTTTACCTTTAGATCATTTGGAAACACATGCGTCCAGGATCACGTGGGACCGATTTGGTGTTCCGACTCTTTCATGGGCGCACTGCTCTGGTTACAGGGACCCTAGGGGTAAGGGCTTAGAGTGTAGGGTTGGAGTTAGGATGTAAGGTTAGCGGTTAGGGTAGGGGTTAACTGTTTCTGTATCACAACTTATGTCTTGTATGAGCCTTCCTCATCTTGCCCTAGACCTACTAATAGCTGGTTCTACTAAGTGATCGTAAACAAGCAGCTGCACTGAGCTGTGCAGCAGCAGACCGTTCCCATTTAGCCGCTTCAGTGATTTTGGTTTGTACGCTGCGATTTTGAACGTGCGCCTGGGCCGGGCCTGGACCCGGACTAGTTTGATGTGGGGATCAAATTTGTGGCAGTTCGGTCGTACCTAATAGAGATAGATGGCGTAGACGACTGGTACATGATGATATGGACTGTAAGAATGTTATGGGAAAGATTGGCGGTGAATTCGCTCGACAACGCACAGGGCTGAGCGACGGGCGACTTGCACGAGGTATATGAACTGCACAGGTCGGTGCGTAACAGGTACTGACAGATATGTACCCCGATCCGGTACTGATATGTTATAACAAGTGTACCGACTTGTACTGACAGAGTGTGACCCTAACCCTACATAACCCTAAACCCGAACCCTAACACGAACCCTGACCTCGGGTGACATATCTGTGAGTACCTGGTGTACGACAAGCGGACCGTGTCGTGCGTCATATAGGTGTGGCGATGTACCGCAGCCCTGTTACAGGGGGGGTTGCGGGGGCGTTCGAACGAACCGCCCCTTCCCCTCCCCTCCCGAGCCCCCCTCCCCCAAGCCAAAAAAAAGCTCCTATTTTTTGAAAATTTGGGCAAGAATTTGCACTCAGGCTGCGCTGCCATTTATGTGTGATATAATTTGCAATAATGGCATCGTGCAGAGAGGTGTAACAGGAACACCCCCCTGCCAGCACCCTTCCCCCGCGCTCGGTCGGTCTGGGCTGCCCCTTCGCCTGGGCGGCTTGCCGCGACGAGCAGGGGCGTGTGCAGGGGTGTGTCAGTGGAGTGCCGGGAGGCTGTTGACATGCCTGACAGAGGCTGTCACTGAATCGTGACAGAGGTGTACATGGGACAGGCTATTACATCATGGACAGAGGGTCTGCCTACATGCGTAACGGAGGCCTGTGTTACATCGTTGAACATGGAGTGGTGTAGATGCGTGACAGAGGCTGGTTACATCGTGACCATGGGCTGGTTACCGTGACAGAGGCTTTTACCAGCGTGACATAGGCTGCTACATGCGTTGAATAGGCTTGCCTACATCGCCTGACAGAGGCTGGTTTTATCGTGGACTAGGTGTGCTACATGCGTGACAGAGGCTGTGTATATCGTGCGATATGCTGGCGTACATCGTGAAGTATGGTGCTATCGCTGACATGGGCTGCATACATCGTGACATAGGCTGTGACATGCTCGTGACATAGGCTGTACTTGGTAGACAGAGGCTGCCTACATCGTGACAGACTGTACTACATCGTGACACGAGGTGCTACATCGTGACAAGAGGATGGCGAATCGTGACAGAGGTGCTACATCGTGACAGAGGCTGTGTACATCGTGACAGAGGCTTTGCTACATCTGTGGACAGAGGCTTTCTACATCGTGCAGAGGGCTTTACATTGGACAGAGGCTGTTACATTTGGGACATAAGGCTGCTAACACCGCTGACAGAGCATGTGGTTACTGCGCTAACCGAGGCTGGTGTACATCGCGTGATCAGAGGCTCGCTACATCGTGGACAGACTGGCTGCTACATCTGCAGAGGCTTTACATCGTGACCGAGACGGCCTGACATGCGTGAGACAGAGGCTTGTGTTACATCTGACAGAGGCTGCTACATCGTGACGAGCTGCGTAATCGTGCGAGGCTGCCTACATTTCGTGGACAGAGGCTGCTACATGCGCTGTTAGAAGTGCTATAATGCAGTGACAGAGACTTAACAGTCGTATTGAGAGTCGCTGACATCGTGTTAGAAGCTGCTGGATAGCACCCTGACTGAGGTTGCTAGATCGTTTGTCTGGAAAGATATCTGTCAGATGGCCATTCTCGTGTCGTTACGCTGTGTTTTGTATTTGCTCTGGGGCCACCTCCCTCCTCCTGCGCGCTCGCCCGCCTTCTTCCATCACCCCGTAACAGCAGATTATTAGCCACCGACCTCAGCGGTGTTCACCTGAGAACAAAGCGACTATGACGCCGGGCGTGATGAGCAAGGATGTAAGGATCCCGCCCGCCCGCGCCTCGCTCAACCTCAGCGGCGTTCACCTGAAGGTGGCGCTGTGGTCGTGTAAGCAAAACGCCGAGTTCACTCTGGGATCGCGCGTTCTCCAAGAGCTGTCTACGTTCATGTACTTCACCTACACCGTCACGGCACGCTGCTACGGCTTTGACGGCATAGTCGCCGGGATGGCAGCGGGAGAGATAGACATCGCAGCTTATCTGCGAATGACGGAGCGACGGCATCGGTTTGTGACCTTTCTGCATCAGCTAGACAAATCCCGTTACACTTTCATAGTCCGTGCGGAGGGGGTGGACGAGGATACAACACCGCTGACGATACTTGCTCCATTCCATCGCATCACGTGGCTGTTCGTATTCTGCTACATGGCCGCTAGCGTCGCTACACTGACGCTCTACGAGATGTGGAGAGGGAGGAGGGAGAGACAGCAGCACGGAAACAGGTTGCAGGCATTCGGCAGGTACCTGATGTTCAAGCTGGGATCCGTGCTGCAGCAGGGCGGCACGTATAACGCTGACGACATGCCGTCACGGATGCTGGTCGGATGGTGGTGGCTGTTTGCTCTGGTCATCACAGCGACCTACTCTGCCAAGCTGGTCAGCAATCAATCGGTACATCACAGCCATTCTTACCCGTTTACATCCATACAAGAGGCCGCCACCAGTCCACTGACACCGCTCGTCTATCGCGGCAATTCAGAAGAGCAACTGCTCTCCAACAGTGACCCCGAATCTGACCTCGGTCGACTGTGGCGCCGCGTAGTGGACGATGGCGCACTCATTGATTCAAAAGAGGAGGCGTACGAGCGCGTGTTGTCCGGTGATTACAGCTTTATCAACGACGAGACTTTCTCCATTCTCTTCTTCGCTAGAGACTACCTACAGCACAACCACTGCCGATTCACGCGGGTGCCCGTCTACTTCTACTCCGGATACCGAGGCTTCGCCGTGCCCAAGCACTTTCCTTACGCGGAGCAGCTTAACTACGGCATTCGGACGCTGTCCGAGCGAGGATTCATCAATCAGTGGAAGAAGGAGACGTTGCCAGAGGGAGCCGAATACTGTCTTCAGTTGTTGGACCCGCCCGTCGTCGGCGCCCAGTCGCTCTCCTTCTCGCACACCCGCAGTCTGTTCCTGACTCTCGTCATGGGTATAGGGGGCGCTGCCGTCTGCTTGCTGGTGGAGATCGTCATACATCACGTGGGCAGGAGGATCCGTACCTCGGCACCCTCCACGCGCACCTTGGAGATGATCATCGTAGGGGGCGCCACTGCTGCCTGCGTGGCGGAAAACAGCGAGATCACCACAGCAGCAGCGCCCCCTAGTGGTCTGTCGGCGGCTTCCGCTGACGTCAGCCGGTCGTGTGATGTGTAGGTACTCACAGACGACAGAGGAACGCGTGAGACGTGCTATTTCTCAATACGCATGCGCATAGCCCTACTTAGTTCACGTAAATGTACACTAGCTGTCTACTAAGTGACGTAACAAGCTAAACTGAGCGTGCACAGTCAACCCGTTCCCATTTAGCACGCTTCAGTATTTTGTGTCTGTACGCTGCGATTTAACGCGCGCCTGGCACGGGCCTGACCCGAACTAGTTTTATGTGGGATCAAATTTTGCAGTCTGTCCGTACCTAATAGAGATCAGGATAACGACTGTAATGACTATATGACTGTAACGAATGTAATTGGAAAGTTTGCGGGTTGACTGTGCACGCTCAGTTTAGCTTGTTACGTCACTTAGTAGACAGCTAGTGTACATTTACGTGAACTAAGTAGGGCTATGCTCATGCGTATTGAGAAATAGCACGTCTCGCGCGTTCCTCTGTCGTCTGTGAGTACCTACACATCAC